AATTAATAAATAAGGAACTAACTTTAATTTAAATTTACTCTCCTCCGTTTCATAATTGTGTCTTGATAAGCACGAACCTCAGCTCAGTCAAGACGCAATGATTATCGATCGTAATTTTGAGGAAACTACCACCTATCGCGTTGTCTTTCTAACACAACTATTCCATTCGTATCGTAATATACAACGCAGTGCGAGTGCGTGATTGGCTAAGTCGCTATGACGACACACGGTTGCCGTGGCAACCTACAGTGCGCACTGAACACTGCGCCTTGTGTGGGAGGGGAGATTATACCAACAAACTATTTCAGGAATTCTATTTTGGGACGGATGAAAGATAAGGAAGAAACAAAAAGTGGTCACGTGTGCAAATGTAGTGGGCGAGACAATAAGGCTGTAAACGAGTATCGTCGTGTCGTTGTTCCTTGTTTGTTTACTTTTTCAGATTCCTTATCAAACGCCCCTAACTGCTATCTCTCTTTCTCTCTCTCTCTCTCTCTCTCTCTAACAATGTACTGATTAAACAGATTGTGGTTGACGACTTTTCTACTTATAAGTTTCCCTGCGGTTATTTTAGTTCAATCAATCCCATAACCTTTCTAATGTTTATCAAAAATTAATATGTTTTGTATTTTATTTCCTTTAAACCAACCCCTATTTACCATCTGTATTTTATAGAATAAAATGTTTGTTTATAAAGTTTGACTGGCCACACAATTTTGTACCTATTTTATTTTGTATAAAGTAACAGTTACTTTGAGGATTATATATATATATATATCAATAAGTGGCGCATGCGGTAATGAGTGCTTTTTATTATCAAAATAAGTAATGAGTTATTAATTTTTGATAGTACATGGGTCATTGAGTACCATAATGTGATGTAGTTTCCTATTTGTATCTTGCAAATAATAATAATTGATAGTTAATTCTGGAAATGAAAAATAGTGATCGCATTCATAAACCTGTTGTCAAAACAGCAACGAGGGTGTAAGGGTTTATTGTTTCAGAGGCAAGGGTGTTTCAAGGACAGAGTGTTGGGCCACCCGGATTGGGGGGGAGGGGGGCGGTGAGACTGTGTGAAGGGGAGGAAACTGGTTTTGGCTATTTATTGATTAGTTCGCCGACCCTTCTAGATGACAAAATTGAGTGACAGTGTTAAATCATCGTGTTCTGCATTTCATTTCTTGTTTACTTTGTGTGTTATTCTATTAATTCTAGTGCTTTGGTCTATTTCCTCTATATGTCAATTATATATTTTTTAATATATAAGTAAAACTTGTCTCTCCACCTTTTTGGATCCAAACCAACCATGTTCTTTTTTGATTAATAGGATTCATAAAACAAAAATATTTTGTGCATGGAAAACAACAAGAATAATCACGTGTTTTAAAATTTATTTTGTATTTATTTATACAAAATAGAATTAAATATTCATAGTAGTTACAATATACATATGTAATCGACTTGCTAGTTGTTTTGTCGTCATTCAAGGTCGCGTTGCTGTTCTGTTATGAAAGACAATCTGATTGTCTCAGTCTGCACTGCATATCTCTTCAGGCCTTCAATCGATATCCTTTTATTTCTTGCATCTTCATTTAGTTCAGTTCAGTTCTTATCGTGATTATCTACTATTTGATGTCTTGACAATTCTCAATGTTTTTAAACATATTAAAATAACATATTGTGTTTATTTAAAAATTGACTGAACATTATTATTATTATGCACTTTTTTAAGAAAAAAAGTTTAATAATTAAGATAAGGTTACGCTAGGAAAAGCTCGGCTCGAAAAAGCTCGAGCTCAAACATTTTTTAAAAAGCTCGGCTCGGCTCGGCTCGAGGTTGAAAATCACTATTCGCACACCCCTACGGAGGAGCTCAAGAATTACTCCGAAGCTGAAAAAATGAAGCCCCATTTGAGAACTTGGTTGTCTTCTTGGCCTTTTTACACTGTCGAAGAATTTTTAAATTGGAAAGACTTTGATTTGAATGACTTTTAACTGTTACAATAATTGCTTTGTTATTGTACTGAGATATATTTGCTTATTGTTGACGCGATTTTAAATCTTGATGATTTTATAATAAAGTTGTTCTCTCTCTCTCTCTCTTTATAATAACCTGCCTGATTCTATTAAGTCTACACCTTCCTTCAGGAAATAAAAAAAATATATATATTTAAGTTGTTAAGTAACAAATGTTGCTATAAGGTCAATGACTATTTCCGCTGACTTTTGTATGGTTTATATATTATTTTTATGTTGGTATTCTTAATCATATTTACACTATTCATGTACATTTTGTACAAAATGAATAAAGGATGATTTGATTTTATTGAGCGGAGCGAGCGAAGCTCTTATACGTCGACTTTTATGGATTTCGTAATACGCAAACTCCTCCTAGACGGCTGAATCAATCGTTTTCAAAATTTGCATGGTGATAAAGACCATATCGGTGAGTGCCAAAATCTATATGGCGTTAAAAAAGTCTCTCAGGAATCCGCCCAACTGGGTCTCGAAGTTTCAATCGTAATCCTTATGGAAGCAGTATTTGACACATAAACAAAAACAAAGACATATGATCAGCTGTTGACTATTGAATGCAGTAGATAAAGAAATAGCTGATAGCATTATTTCACAGATATTAGAACAGAAACGGTATAGATCATAAATATAATCAAATGACGATTGTGGAAACTGTTTATGAAGATTAGATTAAGGTATCTGCATTCCTTAAATTCTATGGGAAGGGAGGAAAGCAGGTCCGCGACGTAGAAAGTGATGAAGGAAATAGTCAAGGCAAGCTGTCCGGAGTGTGGGAACTGTTTATGACGATTAGGTTAAGGTATCTGCAATCCTAAAATGCTATTGGAAGGGAAGGAAACAGGTCCACGACGTAGGAAGTGGTAAAGGAAGTGGTAAAGGCGAGCTGTTCGGGGTGTGGGATCTGTTTATGACCATTAGATTAAGGTAAACTTGCAATCCTATGATGCTATGGGAAGGGAGGGTAACAGGACCGTGACGTAGGAAGTGGTGAAGGAAGTAGTAAAGGCAAGCAGTCCGGACTGTGGGAACTGATTGTGACGATTAGATTAAGGTATCTAAAATCCTAAAATTCTATGGGAAGGGAGGAAAACAGGTCCGCGACGTAGGAAGTGGTGAAGGAAGTAGTCAGGTTGAGCTGTCTTGAGTATGAAAACTGTTTATGACGATTAGATTAAGGTATCTACAATCTTAAAATGCTATGGGAGGAGAGGGAAACAGGTCTGGATGTAGGAAGTGGCGAAGGAAGTAGTAAAGGCGAGCTGTCTGGAGTGTGGGAACTGTCTGTGACGATTAGATTAAGGTATCTGCAATCTTAAAATGCTATGGGAAGGGATGAAAACAGGTCCACGACGTAGTAAGTGGTGAAGGAAGTTGTCAAAGCAAGCTGTCCGGAGTGTGGAAACTGTTTATGACGAATAGATTAAGGTATCTACAATCCTAAAATGCTATGGGAAGGGAGGGAAACAGGTCCGTGACGTAGGAAGTGGTGAAGGAAGTAGTAAAGGCGAGCGGTCTGGAGTGTGGGAACTGCTTATGACGGGTAGATTAAGAAATCTGCAATCCTTAAATTCTGTGGGAAGTGAGGAAAACAGGTCCGAGACGTAGGAGGTAGTGAAGGAAGTAGTAAAGGCGAGCAGTCCGGAGTATGGGAACTTTTTATGACGATTAAGTTAAGGTATCTGCAATCCTAAAATGCTATGGGAAGGGAGGAAAACAGGCCTGAGACATAGGAAGTGGTGAAGGAAGTAGTCGAGGCAAGCTGTCCTGAGTGTGGGAACTGTTTATGAAGATTAGATTAAGGTATCTACAATCTTAAATTGCTATGGGAAGAGAGGGAAACAGGTCCGCAACGTAGGAAGAGGTGAAGGAAGTAGTAAGGTGAGCAGTGTGGAATGTGGGAACTGGAAACCGTTTATAGCAGTTAGATTAATGTATCTGCAAAGCTGAAATGCCAAGAGAAGGAATAGAATCATGTCCACGACATAGGAAATGGTGAAAGTAGTAAAGGCTAGCAGTGCGGAGTGTGGGGAACGTTTGTGGCAATTAGATTAACAAACCTAAAATAGGTACTAAAATGATATGGAAAGTGATGATAACAGGTCCACGATGTAGGAAGTGGCTTAGAAAATAGTAAAGTATGAGCATAGTGTGAGAATCATCTGTGGCAGTTAGATTAATGTATCTTCAATACTAAAATGCTATCAGAGGGTAAGGAAACAGGCCCCACAACGGAGGACGTGGTGAAGGAAGTATTGAAGGCTGGCAGTGCAGAGTGGGGGGAACCGTTTGGGCAGTTAGATAAATGTATCTGTAATCTTAAATGCTATGAGAAGGGAAGGAAACAGGTCTATGACGTAGGAAATGGTAAAGCAATTAGTAAGGCTAGCAGTGCAGAGTGTGGGAACTGTGTTTGGCCATTACATTAATGTATCTACAATCCTAAAATGCTATGGGAAGAGAGGGAAACAGGTCTACGATGTAGGGGGTGGTGAAGGAAGGTGTAAAGGTGAGCAGCGTTGAGTGTGGGAATGGATTAATGTATCTGCAATACTAAAATGCTATGGTAAGAGACTGTAGACTGTGTAGGTTAAAATGATTACGACGCACGAGTCGATACATATTTTAGATACATGCAATCGTTTACAATCGAAATTTACAACTGAGTTGACAACAACTGATTTTTACTCCATAGAGGCTAAAAACTATTTTTACTCCCTAGAGAGTAAAAATGCTACTTTAGAACCGCACCGCATGCTGCAGTATGACAAAAACAATATAATATGAACCCTTGATGACTCCGCTCAATTTTGTGAATGCCTCTGCGAACGCCACCTAGTTACATTCCATTAGTTTAATATTTTGCTTTACAATACCTATCTAAAAAATCTCTAAATATGAGATAAATTTGTTTAATATGAGTAAAAATTATGGTTATGGTTTATGTAACATGCTGTACTTACAGGATCAAAGTTAATAAATGGGTGAAACTCTTTATACATTTCCCAAATTGTTGAACTGCCGAAGAATGAAGATTTTTCGGGGGTTTCAATGAAGGTTAAAGTTCGTGCCAAAATTTCAACCACTGATACTTGGGTTTCATAATCATCACTCTCAGTTAATATATTTGAAAGACGATTTCTGCAAAATAAATGTTAGTAAAATATAATTACAATTGTCAATCTCTAATCATCAGACTAGGTGTAATAAGAACGAGACTATTTACTTGAACAAAGGTTTAAATTCACTAAATAATGACACACTTGAAACATACCAGTCGACTAGGAGTAGTGTACTAACTGTTTACAAGTAAACATAATAATTAACATGTGATTAATAATAAATAAAACAAAGTGAAGAAAGAAAGAACAGGTTATAGTCATTTAGTTGTACATCATATCAATCCCAATGGTCAAGAACATAATAGTAAGATCGCAGAGTAAATTATTTTACCTATGTACTATTATTTTACTCTTTACCTATTTAATATAAAAGCCTTATAAATATTTTATAAACCCTCATTCACTGATTTGTTGATTCCACTCAGCTACTACAGTACCTACTCCCAATTAATAATTAGTACTATTAATAGAGATCGGCCGATACCACAAACTGTTGATACTGATACCGATACCACCAAAGTACTCTCGATACCTATCGATTCTGATACTTCCGATACCTATCAAAATAATCAAATAAAACATTAATTTTAATATGAACACATTTATTGTCAATGATAAATAAGCATAATATTTTTGTATCCATATTAGTGTGTTACAATAATAACAATAATAGAGAGTGTAAGCTAAACTCATTTAAGTTTAGATTTGGATTTGTAACATCCATGGGATCGTCTACATTTTCATCTTGGCCTAGGCCTATATTCTTCCCCAACTGTTGATTTGTTCAATTTCCTCTGGAAAAATTCACTTTGATGGTGAAGTTTCAGATGTTTATTGAGGTTAGAAGTCGTACGAGACTTAGGCTATCTTTTTTGCACAGTTTACATTTTGCCACATCACTACTTTCACTAATAATATTCAAAAAGGCCCACACATCACTTTTACGCTTACTCATATTAAATAAAAAAACTATATCATTCATTAATTAAAATCAAAAGAAATTCAATTAGAACCAATGTTAAATAACAATAACATAAACTCAACAGTCAACATACGGATGGATCATACGACATACACTGTAACTGCAACACCGCGATCGTGCATATAACAGGACTACTGCATCTCTAAAACGCTAACCGTGATTGGTTTATCGTCGTCCTCCAATCCAAAACCGACAAATGAGAAAGGTTCTAATAAGTTAGTAAAGACACTAGCACTCGGTGCGGCGTTCAACAACAATCCAAGTTTCAATGACGCTAAAACATAGCACGTGATTGGTTGATCGTCGTCGCAGGGCAGTAGGTAAGCCAATGAGATCGTGTATATTAAAATGCGCTCGCAGTGGTGATCAACCAAACCAAGTATCCACGTCGCTGTTACATTGCATGTGATTGGCCGAAAATCGTCTCTGGATGGAAAACTAGCCAATGAGGTTGTGTCTATCAAAGTGGCAAGGCCACTAGCGCTCGCAGTGGTGATCAACCAAACCAAATATCATCCCTGGAGTTGAAAACTAGCCAATAAGGTTGTCTCTACTAAGTAGGCAAACAGCTAGGATTCGTAACGGCAATTTACCCGATCTGAACTGACTTAATCTGCACCGATTCGTACCGTTCAGTGTCAGTATCGGTATTGAACCCAAAACAGACAAGTATCGAGTATTTTGGTATCGAGTATCGGTATTGGCCCACCTCTAATAATTAATTAATTAATCACCAGGGGAGCGAGCTGGCGTAGTGGTTAGAGCGCGGGACTTCAGTCCCTGAGGTCCCGGGTTCGATCCCCGCCAAGAAGTTTTATTTTTTACAATTAAAGTATTTCTGTTTTAGTTAACATTATCTTTTGCTAATAATTCAACTAGTACAACTCATTTTATTTTCTTTTCATAATCACAACATATGGTATTAATAACATATGTTAATACCCCCGCCGCAGCAAACCTGCAGACTAAGCGAATTTCCATTTGCCTGATTGGATTTACACTAAAATGTCTACTTAAAAATTTAACATTTATTTCTTATTTAAATAGAATTAATTTAACAGGTACTTAGGTTTGCTGCATCAGGGAGGGTAAAACTGCTTGTTTTTGTAAAATGTTAATAGTTTGTAAGAAATAAAAATATTTTCCAAATTTGATCAAAATATATGTTCATAAACAAGCAAACTACAACAAGTTTACTTGTTCTCCATAAGAATAACATGGGAATTTAAAATTTAAATTTTTTTGGAATTTTCTCCGTAACCATTAGGCGCATAGTAACACTTCAATATACTAAATTATTTGTTTTTTAAGCTCTACAAAATGGTTTGGAAAGAAATTGCTAAATATTATGTTTTTTGGGTCAAAAATGGGAAAAGCCTATTTTTACCCCATAAAACCCCCCGTAAACCCCCGTTCCCATAGTCCGATCATGCTGGTTCGCGAACTCGTTCAAGTTTGTCCCGCCTTACACCTTCAAACCAAATTTCATCAAAATTGGACAAAAATTACTCAAGTTATCGTGCGGATATATATAAATATATAAAAATTTGAACGAATGGTGTTTTTGGCCTCTGGGGACATCAAAATGAAAAAGTAAATCGGTCCCAGGCCTAGGACTTACCATGAGACCTACGGTAATAACTACTTCCCTATAGGGAAATTCGCTAAAAACAGTCTTTTTGGAAATGTTATGGCTTTGGCACACCATGAGTAATGATTGAGTTCTGCTAAGTGTGGTAATAGAACAGACAAGTAAAGTATATACACTAGTAAAGTTTAATTACTTATTTGTAAATATGAGATTTTCTAATAAAATTATTGGTAATAAACAATATACTTACAAATGATCAATATTGGTGGGGATGATCTCAGAGCGGATTCTTCGTGATGATTTCTGTAGGAGAGAGCTAATCAGGATCATTATGAGCAATCGGGTGTGCTTGGTAAAGGTTTTGTTCAAACAATGGGCCAATAGTGATGTCATCATGAACCTCAAGAGGTCATCAGCGACACTGTTCCCAACATCCAAAATTGCCTAGAGAAATAAAGTTCAACTATTAAAACAAAATGTTTCAAAGAATTTTGAATCACTTAATTTTAATCCTCAGCATCAGTCATAAAACTGTCAATCCCTTGGCCTTGCCTGGATAGGAACGAGGCACGCCTAGTGGCCTTATAATAATGCGTAATCAATGTACTCAAAATTATATTTTACTTGGGGTTACTTTTTTTTTAAAAATATATATTTTTAAAACCAATATAAATTTAATCATAGGATAAAATGGTTAGTAATACATAAAAGTATTATTAATTCAGATAATATTAGAAAATGTTTAAATACCTGCTATTAAGCAATCCAATATTAGTTTGAGATATATTAGGCAGTAAAATCCGACCACCATAATGTACTAAATGACCAACAATTTTTCTCGTCTAATTTTATGTATGACACTGCCATCAGTTTACTGGAGAGGGGAGGTGTGATTGACAGGACGCAACCTGGGATGATAAGATAACAGACGTACACCATTGCACCGACCACCCGCAGTCTGGACTCAAACTCCGCCGGGTTAGCGTCGTCTGTTTTTTAACTGATCAGTTACCATAAATGTCTCGTATTTGTGTTTGTGTCGTGTTTAAATGTTTTGTTTGTATTATTTTCATGTAAATTATATGACACTCTTTGTATGAAGAAAGAAAACTGTCCTTGTACAGCCTGATGATGGTGTCACACAGACACCGAAACTAGTTGTGCTAACAAAAATATTGGGTTGCTTAATAGCAGGTATTTAAACCTTTTCTAATATTATTTGGCAATCCGGAGGCAAACACCTATCCTACAATGAAATTCAGATACAGTAATATAAACTAATGTTGAATAAATATGGAGGTAAAAATTACTTTTAAAAAATGGCTTTGAGGATTATCATCTATAATATTTATTCTATGAAATATAAACCTGATTGAGGAAAATTTTAACCTTAGTTTTACATTCATCCATACAGTAGAACCCCACTAATCCTTCGCCTCTGGGGCCGGGGGTATGGTCGGAACACAAAAAAGGTTGGATTATCAGAAAAAAGTGAGACGTACTTTTTCCACACTGAAACATATAACACTAGTTTACATGCCAGGTTCAAGTACCACGTGCTATACAGCACATTTAGTTTCCAGGTAGGCCTCACTACGGAGATTTGGGTTGGCCTTCCAGGGTTTGCGTCAAGATGTTACTTTCACGCTCAGCCGTGCCGTCGCCTTGGCTGAGGTTTACCGCGTCGGAGATCTCGAGCATCTGGTTCATCACACAGATGTCGCCGTAGTCCGGATTAATCCTCAAAGACCGGTCACTGCCCCTTCCACCGCAGTGAGACGTGGTGGCCTTCCATGGCAGCTAGTCGCCATCCCCGAAATCGTTTTCGTGTTCAGCACACGACATCCAGCCAGGCACTTGGGTTCTGCACACCAAGTATGGGTTGACTCCGTCTGCCGTTGTAGCCTGGGGTCCACTGTCGCCCTCCTGTCGTCACAGCCGCAGGCTGAGGCTCATTCCGCCCCCCCCCCCCCCCCACTCGTCGTAGTAGGCTGGGGCTCATCCGGCCTCACCTGGCCGTCGTTGCAGGCTGGGTCTGTTGCGACCACCGTCGATGCTACCCCAGACTCGGGTCATACTTCCCATCCGTCGCCGATGTCGTCTGGGCATCTGGTTTCTCACACAGATCTCTGTCGGTGCTGTCGTATGGGAATCCGGCTCATCGCACGGACCCCTGTCTCTGCCGTCGTATTGGTATCGTATCCTGGCTCGTTGCAGGAATACCGTCGTTGTCGTAGTTTGTTCGGATGCCATAAATGTGACGTACTACGTGGGGTTTGACACTATCGCATGAGTGTCCTGCTCGTTGCAGGGACACTTCGTCGATGTTGTCGTATCGTGGGGATCCGGCTCATCGCACGGACCCCTGTCGTTGTCGTCGTCGTATGGGAATCCGGCTCACCGCACGGATTCCTGTCGTTGTCGTCGTCGTATGGGAATCCGGCTCACCGCACGGACCCCTGTCACTGCCCCTTCCACCGCAGTGAGACGTGATGACCTTCCATTGTCGTTAGTCGTCATCCCCGAATTGTCTACATGTCCACATGTAGCCCCAAGAGAATCTGGTTCAACACACAGATCCCAGCGTCATAGCGGTACCTGGGGAGCTCCGCCTGCCGCTGTAGTCGGGGTTCGGATCACCCACCTAACGACGCAGCTACTACGCCTTCACTGCAGGCTGGGCGTCCATCGTGGCCCCAATCGAGACTACAGCCGGTGGTCCTCGGCCCCATCGATCTCCGCCGCCGTCCTGGGTGTCTGTCTGGTTCTGCACACAGACTCGTGATGTCGCGGTCCCTTAACTTAGTCGACTCAACCCGCCACTGTAGCATAGGGTTCGAGCTCACCCGTCGACCACGGCTACAGGCTGAGGTGCGTTCCACCCCCCCACTCGTCGTCGTAGGCTGGGGCTCAACCATCATCACCTGGTCTTCGCCGCGGCCTGGGTTTTCCAGCCCGTGCGCCCTATATCGGTACTACAGCCGGGGAACCTACTCGTACGTTTTCGTCGCTGACGTCCTGAGTGTCTGGTTTCTCACACGGACATGTGTCACTGCCCCGTCTGCCGCAGTGAGCTGCGTGGTGGCCGTCCGTTCGTAGTTGTCGTTCGCCACCCCCGATGCGAGCTACTTGCACCCTTCGCATGTAGTCATCGGGGATCCGGTTTATCACACAGAGCCGTGTCACTGCCCCGTCCGCCGCAGTGAGTCCCATGGTGGCCGTCCGTTCGTCGTTGTTGTTGAGTGCCACCCCCGATGTGAGCTACTTGCGCCCTTCGCTGGTAGTCCTCGGGGATCCGGTTTATCACACGGTCCTGTGTCACTGCCCCGTCCGCCGCAGTGAGTCCCGTGGTGGCCGTCCGTTCGTAGTTATTGTTTGCCACCCCCGATGTGAGCTACTTGCGCCCCTCGCAGGTAGTCCTCGGGGATCCGGTTTATCACACAGACACGTGTCACTGCCCCGTCCGCCGCAGTGAGCTTCGTGGTGGCCGTCCGTTCGTCGTTGTTGAGTGCCACCCCCGATGTGGATAGTCCTTGGATTTACACCACGCCAAGATCCACCACAACGGTTCAACACTCGTTGGGTACACGTTGACCAAGCCCCGGTTGTCTCGCTGACCGTTGTTCTCGGTTGCAATGGTTGGTTTATCACGTCACTACTGCCGCTGGATAATCAATGGAAGAACACCGAAGCTGGCCAACAGCGTGATGTGAGTTCCTCTGGTTGGTTTATCACACAACCCCAGCCGTTCGAGAATCGTAGTAGGCTAGCTGACTGCTCTACGTCAATCTTCCGTCCGCTAACGAGTCGCTGGTTCCAGTGTCGTGCGTTGCTCATCACTCCAGGTAGGTTCAACACGCTACCACAGCTGCCGAAGACACGCTGAGTCCACGCCAACTCGCCAGTCCCAGACGTCAAATGGTTCCACACCATAGGCCAACGTTATCCAATTCGCGCCAAAACAATCTCATCACCCGTCATAAACTCATAACACAAAATATTAAAACACATATAAATCGTTAAACATGAAATGAACTTCTACCTTGCCAAGTCTACAACATGGACAAGACTGGCCTTAACTTTAAAATCCTGCCAACCAAAAAGACACTCGCTGCATCAAATGAATCTGTGGCCAGAACCAAACCTATTAAAGATAGGCTAACCGTTGCTCCTTGCAGTAACGCCGATGGAACACACAAGCTTCCTCTGTTCGGTTTTGACAAATCTAAAATGCCCAGAGCTTTCAAAAATCTAAACTTGTCTTCTTTGCCAGTTTATCATGGCAATCAAAAATCTGCATGGATGGACTACAATCTTTTTAGATCTTTGTTTTACGACGAGTTTGCTCCATCGGTTGAAAATTATTTGAAAAAAGCTTTCTGTCCATTTTCTACTGCTGTTGGACAACACACCATCACAGCCATCTGAAGAGGATTTAGTGAAAGGGGACAACAAAGCTATCTTCCTGCCTCCTTAATGTCACCATTGCTGATCCAATCAATGGATGAGGGAGTGATTGAATGATTAAAGAGGTGGTATCGCAGGAAGTACATCAGCTCAATTTCTAAAAGTCTGAAGAGGGTGCTAACTAATTTAAGGCTTTCATAGGAAAGCCCTTAATATCAAAGATGCCGTCCAAACGATTGCTGAGTCATGAGAAGAACTGAGCCTGACACGCCACGAAAATCATGGCGTAAGCTTAGGCCCCAGATGTTTGATGTGCCAGAAGAAAATTTTGATAGAAAGAAAAAAATAAAAAGAAATATTTGTTTTATACTATCTCGAATTTAGACCAGATGGTGTTTTAGATTTAAGTATTAATTGATGAGCTTGCTCAAGCTGTCTTAATATTAGTCTGATGCGTCTTTTGCCAATTTTCTTATTCCTTTTAGCGAATTTCCCATATAGAGAATAAGCTATTACCATAGTACTCATGGTAAGACCTGGACGCGGAACGAGTTCGCGGCCAGCATGATCGGACTATGGGAACGGGGGTTTATGGGGGGTTTTATGGGGTAAAAATAAGTTTTTTTCCGTTTTTGACCCAAAAAACATAAACTTCAGCAATTTCTTTCCAAACCATTTTGTAGAGTTCAAAAAAAATAATTTAGTATATTGAAGCTTTATTATGCACCTAATGGTTACGGAGAAAATTCCATAAAATGTATTTTTTAAATTCACATGTTATTCTTATTGAGAATAAGTAAACTGTTGTAGTTTGCTTATTTATGAACATATTTTGATCAAATTTTGAAAATGTTTTTATTTCTTACTAACTATTAACATTAAAAAAAAAAAAACAGTTTTACCCTCCCTGATGCAGCAAACCTAAGTACTTGTTAAACTAACTCTATTTAAATAGGGAATAAGTTAAATGTTATATTTTTAAGTAGACATTTTAGTGTAAATCCAATCAGACAAATGGAAATTTGCTTAGTCTGCAGGTTTGCTGTGGCAGGGGTATTAATGAATAACATTGTTGAAAATTTTGAGAATGCTCTCTTGCATGAATATCCACAAGTTTTTGTATATCAGGAATAAGAAAATTGGCATAAGACACATGAGACTTAAAATTTAGACAGCTTGAGCAAGCTCATCAATTAATACTTAAATCTAAAACACCATCCGGTCTAAATTTGAGATAGTATAAAACAAATATTTTTTTTTCTTTTTTTCTTTCTATCAAAATTTTCTTCTGGCACATCAAACATCTGGGGCCTAAGCTTACGCCATGATTTTCGTAGCGTGTCAGGCTCAGTTCTTCTCATGACTCAGCAATCGTTTGGACGGCATCTTTGATATTAAGGGCTTTCCTATGAAAGCCTTAAATTAGTTAGCACCCTCTTCAGACTTTTAGAAATTGAGCTGATGTAACCTTTTCCTGCGATACCACCTCTTTAATCATTCAATCACTCCCTCATCCATTGATTGGATCAGCAATGGTGACATTAAGGAGGCAGGAAGATAGATTTGTTGTCCCCTTTCACTAAATCCTCTTCAGATGGCTGTGATGTCCAGCCATCACTGGACCAGCCATCACCAAATCCTGCTGTTGTCCAACAGCAGTAGAAAATGGACAGAAAGCTTTTTTCAAATAATTTTCAACCGATGGAGCAAACTCGTCGTAAAACAAAGATCTAAAAAGATTGTAGTCCATCCATGCAGATTTTTGATTGCCATGATAAACTGGCAAAGAAGACAAGTTTAGATTTTTGAAAGCTCTGGGCGTTTTAGATTTGTCAAAACCGAACAGAGGAAGCTTGTGTGTTCCATCGGCGTTATTGCAAGGAGCAACGGTTAGCCTATCTTTAATAGGTTTGGTTCTGGCCACAGATTCATTTGATGCAGCGAGTGTCTTTTTGGTTGGCAGGATTTTAAAGTTAAGGCCAGTCTTGTCCATGTTGTAGACTTGGCAAGGTAGAAGTTCATTTTCATCCACAATGTTAAAATTGAAACTTCGCTGAAAATTCCTTAACCGCATAATTTTTTTCTGACCTATCGCAATGCCTACAGATCAGTTCACAATTAAATAAGCCCATCCGTTGTAAATTATTTCTGAATCGTCCATAGTCAGTTATCAGTTCCACCGTTAATTTAATTCTTCGCCTGTCTAGTCTCAAGAGGTCAGAGGCTACCCTTTAGGAAGGCCTAAGCAGTGTAAGCTTGCTAACCCTGAGAAGGGGAGTATCAACCCAACGTTTACGGTGCTTTTCATTGGCCCATAACGCAATAGAAGAGCATGCGCTTTTTCGTGAAATGCCACAGAAGGGCTGTGGACCTATCATTGTTGTGGCAGAAGCAGCATTAATCAGCCTGTCTGCAGCTTCATTTCCTTCAATGCCTGAGTGTCCAGGCCCCCAGCAGAGCATAAGATCATTCCTCCCACCCAATTAGACACAGAAGCAAGACAGTCCCACAAGTGCCTTGAGTTGAATTCGTATGAGTTTAGTGCTTTTAAGGTAGCTTGACTATCAGTATAGATGTTAATTGTTTTGTCTCTGATCTCTATGTTAAGATTTTCTCTGACACAAACCAAGATAGCAGTGACCTCCGCTTGAAAAACTGTCGGGTACACTCCCATGGGAAGGCTAAAGCCTCATCATTAGCAGAGAGTTTTTCACCAGAAATTGAAACAAACTGAACACCATGACCGGTTTTCCAGTGATCAATCCAGCCTTCACTAGCCACAAACTCACTTCCTGCTTTGAGTTTTTTGTGTAAACCGATGGCCTTCTATTTTATAATGGGCCCAGATGTCGGGGTCCTTTTCCTCCTTTCTTGGCTGAACTACATCCACAATGCGTTGTCAAGCAGTTCAAGTTTAGGCTTTTTCAATGTTTTGCGTTTCTTAAGAGCACTTTCACCATTGATTGTCATTGTATACGATTCAATATGTTTCAGATTTTTTTGCCAGTCTTTTATTGTCGTAACGCCTACATTGAGTTCCTTGACAATCTTTTGGAGTAATTCGCCTTTATCCAGTCTTTGTAGCCCCAACTGCTAATTTGTCATTTAATGAAATGGTTTACGTTTCACTCCTGACGTTGAAAACACGCACAAATTAAGACAAATATTTAGGCCTACAGAAGAATACTGTTGGAAAAATAACACAGTACAGTGCACGGTAAACACTACAAACTGCACAGTACACCACGAAATACACTTCAGCACAGTAATTCACGACAATCAACAGAAACTATAATAGAGATGACGAAGCACGGAATCAGATATGCGATAACAGCAAGTAGACAATAGCAAGTGGCGCCGCGACAGGAAGTGAGCGTCTGGACAGATATACAAGCTTGAGCCCAGTCGGATTAACCGGAGTGACGGATGAGCCGAGGGCGGACGATAGGGGTTCTATTGTATATATATAATATAATGACAAATATTTTCTCCAAGAAGTTCCACCCCCAGGGCCCTTTAGATTGTAGCATCAAAATATCTAAATGGCAAAACTTATTTCACATAGCCTAAAAAAGTGCAGTACTTACTGATATCACAGCTATAGCTTTCTTGATCAGGGTCTCATCCTTTATGAAGTTACAGGAAATGACAAAAACGCCGTCACAAAGTTTGCTCATATCTTCAGACACTTTCTCCCATTTTTGGGAATCCTATAACAAGTATAAATTTGTATATGTCATAGAAAAGAAACGAGACTCAGCAAATTTCTTAATATTAATGTAAATCCAGTAAACTCCAACAGTTATTTCAAACATAATGTTTTATGTAAATTCTGTTGTACTCTAAGCTAACTCAGGTACTGAAAAGTGGCCGTGCTTTAATGGCTACACTGACTTGGAATATACTGGTTTAGTTTCAAGTTGAATGCAAAGCTAAAAAAATGTCAATACTCTTCACTGTGGAGAAGAGTTGTCTTGACATTCAATTGGACTAAGATACACACTACGTATAATGAAATGTAAAAATACCTTTTTATTGAGGGGAATTTAGGTCATTTCATAATTATTCAACCTCTTATAAGTCTTAACTCTTATAAGTTAACCATAACCACAATATAATGCAGGATCACTGTCACTACAGTGTTCATCAAAAGTATTCCAGAGGCTGCGAGAAAAAATAATGTGTATGGTACTTTTATGTAGTACTTTTTTGTAGGCCTAAATATTGTTTTTGATTTTCAATATAAGCCTAGCTTCTAATTTGATTTATTTGACAAACAAATTTAAAGTCTAATTAATCAATAACTCACTTGCACTGTGTTGAGAAAATGTTGCAGACAGTCTAGAACACATGTTATATCAAATGCTTTTCCCTCATGCTGAAACACAATATGACATTTAACTTAGACATTTAGAATCAAATATAAGGCTAAGCTATTAAGTATTACACAATAATTTGAAATTGAAATGGCAAAATTTCTTTAAGGGGCAAACGGAAACATGGCCTCCTTGGAAATAATATATTTTCAAAGAGTAGGCTTATGTTGCGTTTTAGTGCTTTACTTGAGGCACCGTACCTACATTTTAGTGAATTTACCATATAGGGAATAAGCTATTACTGTAGTACTTGTGGAGACATGGACCCATTACCAATTCACTTTTTCGTTTAGAGGTCCCTAGAGGCCAAAAACACCATCCGTTCAAATTCATATATACATATATTTATATATATTAGGGGTCGTCCAGTGGTCGAAAATTCGACCAAAAATATGTGGGATTTTTGAGCTAGAAGTGGTTGAGGTAAGTTGGAATATCTTTGAGGACGAACTTTTTGGCTGTAGTGATTGTGATCATGAGTTCAATGTTCACATATAAATTTTTGAGGTTAAATCAAAACAAACAAACTGGCATGTTAACAATTATACCCGTGCGGTACCGGGTTAGAATAGCACTGCAGCCTTCTCGGGCTTGTCGTAAGAGGCGACTAAAAGGGTGACCGACGAACTCACTGGGAGTCCCTGGGAGTGCCCCTGTTGTGTTGCAGTAATTGATGTGTGCTCTGCACTGCCGAGGGGTAGGCCTATTCTTAGTGGGTTGTGAGAAGCCAGCCACTTCGGTCCTTGGTCAGGGAGTGCGGCATGGATGTAGAGGTCGGGCTCTGCATTGCGACGGGCGACCCCCGGCACGTCAGGTATCCGGTGCAGGGCAAACGGAGGTCAGGCCCCGGGGAACTGGGGTAGGGGTTTTTGTCCCTGAGGGTATACCCGTTCCTGACTGATTCCGGGCCGCTCCTTGCCCCACGATACGCTGGAATAAACACGATGGCTTTAAATAAAACCCCTCAAAACACATTTTTGATCAAGAGCTCAAATGAGCCAGAAAAGACGTTGGAAGTGGAGCGGAACGCTTTTGTCTGTAGCTCCAAGGTGCAGCGGTCGCCACCACCGAAAAACGTGAGGACATCTCCCCCACCTGCCACCTTCAAATGCACTAAGGAGTTCCCCCGTTTGGGAGCTCCTTCGGCAAGTGGAGCTGGGAACGGTGCGGAAAACGTTGGAGATGCAGGTGTCGAGCTGGCGTTGCCAGCAACTCCCCTGGCAATCAGTTCTGCTGTAGGGATGCCGGAGGAGCCATTCACAGCACCGTTGAGGTCGGAAGGCTCTGAGATGGTGCTTCAGCGTCAGGAATATCTTGACGCAGAGAGTGACATTGAAACCCGGCTCCAAGACATGGAAGCTACGATCAAGGCTATGCTGGACACCTTCCGGACCCAAAAAGCCGTAAATCAAGTGGTCAAAAACGGCATGGCCAAACTGGAGGATGACCTTGGCTTCGTTTTTGCCTGCCGGGTGGTGAGCAAGGCAGCCATGGAGAAGATTGCCGAGAAGGTTGTGTCTCTGTCTGACGAAAGAACACTGCCTTCTAAGAAACGTAAAAGGCCTTCTACATCGGACAGTCCTCAAAAAAGAGAAGAAGGTGTCCAGACCAAAAGGACCACGGTAAAGGCCAAGGCGACTCAGACTGACCTATTGTCTGCTGTGCCCAGATCCTTTTCGGACATAGCTGCAGCTCCTGTAAAGAACCAACCGCCACAGCTACCTACGACCCCCCTTCAGGGAAGTTCCCGACAGGGGTCAGTTGGAGAGACGCCTGGGGCTGCGTGGGAAAAACGCCGTTCCCGAAAGGAGAAGAGGCAATCGAGGCGGGCGGAGGTCGCCTCTATAAAGAATGTGGCAGTGAAGGCACAGCCGACCGGCGTGGCCCAAACTGGGCCTGGCTCGGTCTCTGCTCCGAAAAAGTCCCCGCCAAAAAAGCCCAGGACGGAGGCAATCCTGGTCAAGCCCTGTCATATAATTCCTTTCTATCTGTACATTGAAACATCTGTTCAAATGTTTAGAAATAGTTTTTGTTTACTTTGATGTTTTGGTTCATATTTTAAACTTTTATATCATGCTAGATTCTTTGTTCAATAAAGCCTAACTAAAAGTTATTTCGTTTATAATGGTTTTATTCATTCAATCTACAGATTCAGCATTGGGTCCCGCAAGGTTATATCCTTGGACCACTGTTGCTTCTGTGCTATTTTTTAAAAGATATTCCACATTCTTTTCAAAATAGCTCAACAACAACACTTTGTCTATATGCAGATGATGCAAGTTTCAAAATTAGTAGTGATACAATAAATAATTTGGAAGATAGTTAAGTTCTTCTTCAGCTTTATTGGGTATTCATAACTTTTTGAATAATCACAAACTATTATTAAATACAAGTAAAACAAATTTTATCATGTTCAATGCAGGAAGAAGTAAAAATTCAGTAAATTCAGTAACAAAAATAAACAACCATTCTTTGGAAAAAGTAATTTCTACCAAATTGTTAGGCTTAACATTGGATGAAAATTTAACATGGAATCTCCACATAGATCATGTAGTTAACAAAGTCACCTCTGGATTGTATGCTTTATATAGGATGTCCAAATTTTGGTCAGTAAATACATTAAAAACAATTTTTCTCTTATTGAATCAGCAATCAGATATGACATTGAAATCTATGGAGGTACATCAAAACAAAATTTGGATAGAATTCTTATTCTTCAAAAAAGGGCGATAAGAATCATGAAGAATTTGAATTTTGGCGATTCGGTTCGTCAGCACTTTACAGATTTGGGCATAATGACTGTTTGCAGTTTATATGTTTTTCACACAGCACTTTGTAATCAACCTTTAACTTAGGTCTACAATGGAAACTCCATGTACAATTTCGAAACTTAAATTTATTAATTATAATACAAAACTGATAGTAAAGAAAAGAAAGGGGGTTCACAATAACTTGTACAAACAGTGGGAGATGAATTTACTTTAAAACTTTAGGCTAGGCCTATTACAATGGTTTTAATTATTTAGGTTCAATGTTATAATTTACTGTAAGGATCTTAATCTCAGGTGGGGTGATCGAGCGGCATTTGAATTTAATCTTGTGATATAAGCCTAATTAAATTTTGTTTTAAAATATAAAGTATGTTCGAATTATAGATTGGTTGAATTAATAATATTTCTGAATAAGTTAAGCTTCTATTAGTTCTTGACTTTGAGTATAAATGTCCAAAGGTTTTAAAAAAAGGTTTTAATGGCTTCCAAAGGGGAAAATGTCTATTGGAGTTATCTCACCAAAATTGATGTCTTCTTTGAAGTTAAGTTCTTGATGTTATAAATTATGAATGTTCGTCACAAGGATGGTTCTTCTTTCAACAAATTTCACTCAAAATCTTCCCATGACTTCAAATCATTTTTTACCAATGAAAACCATCGTGAAGCTTGGTGTTCAAGGCTTGTTTCAAGAACGTCTTTTAAGATTTCGATGGGGTTTTGCTCAGTGCTTTGCCGTGAAAGTAATTTTTGGTAATATCTCTTCAGACGTGTTAGATATTCCGGGGGATTATGGGATCGACCACTGAATTTAGGTAAAGTCAAATCATTGGTTAAGATTGAACTTCCACAGGTTACATGGATTTGAGGTGTTAGAAAAGCGGTTTCCTGTTTTAGCTTTTGTTCAAGGTCGGCTTTAATATTAGTAAATTTAGCTTCTTGTTCATGTATGAGGTTAGTTACTTGATTAAGTGTTTCTGTTGTTTGCCGAATTGTATTTTGGTTGTGCTCGACTACCGGTGCCAATTCATTTCTAATTTCAGTTGTTTTTACATTTACATAATTTTCTAAATCTGATTTAGTGTTCTGGGATGTTTCATTGATGTTTAGGGTTAGTTTGGTTTCAATTTTGTGACTTTCGTCAGTGATGATTTGATTGGTCTTAGCGCGTTCGTTGGCTACGATATTGCACACTTCTTTTCTAATTTCGTCATTCTGTTTATACACCTTTTTAATGATGTTGTTTTCAATTTGTTGTAATTCTAAAGTATGTACTTGTTGGATAGCACGGATTTCGTCTAGTTCCTTGCGCATGTTGTTTTGATTTTCTGATAGAGTGTTAAATTTAGAATTTAATTCATTTTTAACCTCGTTTTTGACATCATTTAGGCCCTTATTAAGTTTGTTTTCAACACTAACTACTTCAGTTTTTACTTCATTTAGACCTTTATCGATTTTATTTCCAAGCAGTTCAAATAATGAAATTAATTTGCATTGAAAATCATCCGTAACGACGGTCGACTTAGTTGGTGAGGCATTTACAGATGTGGTGACGTCATAGTTAGAGTTTGTTAGAATCAGCTGTCTTGTAAGTGTGGAGGGAGAATGAGACGGGATAACATCGGAAGTCTTCGGTGGCGTTCGGGTGTTGTCGTCGGCGAAGTCCGGTATCGGCGGCAGCTGTTGCTGTTTCTGTTGGCCTTGACATTCAAGATGGCGGTTTCCAGTTTCTGCTCGAGAAATGGCGTCTGTCATGTTTACTTCTGCTTCGGTTTTATTAAACTCGGTGAAAAGTTCGTTATTATTGTGCCCGGGTAGATTGTTTGATTGTTCGACTTCGTGTTGTGTTATTACGTTGTCAGGTTGTGCGGGATTTACGAACGAACTATGTTGTGTGAATGTTGAAGTGTTATTATTGTCACTAAGATTGTCAGTGAGGACTTGAACGTTGTCAACTGTGTCAGTCATAATTATTGGGTTGGGAATGGTATTGCGGGACCTCAAATTATAATTATGGGGCATGGGATTACACAAGAAGGGAAAAGGATATTATTTACATTTATGGTATGTTAACTCAATAAATCTCTTTAACTAAATTGTGAGTTGTTATTTCTCTGTCTTAACTGCTAACAAAACTCGTTCTAAGGTTTCAAAATTGCTTCATTTGGATCACAAGATTAAATTCGTTGCCAATACGTTGGTGCGCCATTTTTGTAATCAACCTTTAACTTAGG